CATGGGAGTTTATATTCTTCAATAAGTCCCCAGAACCACCATTGTTACCTAAAGAACTAACATTATTTTTTTATCGTCGTGAAGCTGTTATTGTAAGCGAGAGTAAAAACTGCAACATACTTTGCTGAATAATAGAATAGATATCCTAATGGTCTTGAACTGTTCAACTAGGTTAAAAAAAGGAAGAATACTTATTTTTGGCCTTTTAGAACAGGAACACATATCTCCGATAGGGGCCTGAGATGTACTTAGCTTTGTCAATTTAAAAAAATACCATTTGACTAAAATTTTTTAACGCTTGCTGAGCTCTCCTTTGATAACCCCCCCCCGCGTGCTCAACGACATTGTCCTTCTTGAGTCTAACCCTTTGAAAAACGGTGTACGAACTGGGATAAGTTTAAAGAAGTGATTAAGAAAGCAAATTGAGGACTATCAGCGGCGATCAGCTTTAAGGCTACAATCATTTTTGTGCATGAAATGGCTTCCGCCACAGTAACGACTTAACGTTAAGCACGCTTACCTGAGAAAATTAAATTTCTCCTTAACTTAGGAAGACGACAAAAACGTATCTACGTGACCTTTAAAGCCCCAGAAGATAGATGTATTCTATACAAACTTAACAAAAAAAAAAGTTAAATAGGCCTCATTAAATTGAGCAATGAATTTAAAAATCGAAACTTGCCGAGCTTGAAAATTCGAGAAACCCAGCATCCTACTGACTATATGGCGAATCCATATCTGCAAGTTTTTTTTATCCGTTACGACAGAGACCGATTATACCTATGACGACAAGGTTAAAGCGAATGAATTTGTTTGTGTGAAGTTAATTTTAGTCGCAGCCTAACACAAAAGAAGTAGCCCCTGCGACCGAAATTAGCGCTAATTACTGTAACATTCCTCAAAATATAACTTGCAGAGTACCGATAAGAAAGAAGTAAGATCAATTATAAACCTTTTGCGTACTAAAATATTGTCAGGTTCCAATGGCGTAACCTACGACCTGCTTGAACACCTGTCCAAGACAGCACTAACGGCCTTAGTTTCTTTATTAATTTTTCTTTTGAGTTCTGTACATTTCCTGGAGGTGGAAAGCGGTAGCATTGTGTGCATTAGTAAACCCGTGTCCTTTTTTTAAAACCTAAACAACACCCTCATATAAGCCTTTTATCATGCAATAGAAAATTGCTGAAGCTGTAGTACTTAGACGAAAAGTTTGTGGAGAGTACCAAAGTTTTCAGTTTGGATTCCGAAGTCACTGTACTACGGCAGCAGCTTTTGCGTTATTCCGCAAGTGCCACGAAAGGGTCCAATAACAAAAATTTAACAAAAAGTCGAAATGTGCACTATTTTTATGTCTAAAAAACATTCGACAGGGTGTGGCACGCTAGGTTTTTAATAAAAACATCTATTCTGAGTTACCATATAGTCTTCTTTCGTTTCTACAGTATTTTATAAAGAAAAAGATATTTTATGTCAGAGTAGGAAGAGCTGGCTCATCTTAATAAGAACGGGCTAGGAAGTTCCACAAAGCTCGCTGCCGACCTCCATCTAATCCTGCCGGACATATGCAGGCAACACCTCCACCTTTTGTACAGCTTGCGGCTGATACGACTGTATGCCTGCTTTAAATCTCCTTCTTTGACTTCAAAACATATGCAAGAACTTATATTTCCGCGCTTGAGGTATGATTGGATCAGTGTCAATTACAATTAACTCACTTAAGAACAAAGCTATAGCTAGTGGATTGAAGAGGCGTATAACGAAAAAATATATTTAACGCTTTGTGGCAAAGCAGTTCAATAGCACACGGAAGTCAAGAGTTGGGTTTTTGGATTGACAAGCAATTTTCGTGCACTAACACTACGTCATCAACAAAGCGAAGTTAGCTTTTAAAGATCTTTACCCCCTCTTGTGTTAAAAGAGTACTTTCTCAAGGAGCAACAAAATTAAGCTTTATTTGCAATTTATTCGGTCGACTTTGACTTATGCAGCCAGTCATGGAGTGGTTCAAGCAATTCAAGTTCACTGTTGCGAAACCAAATATTTTTGTCGCATTATTGTAGAGAGCTAAGTACTTAGCCCACCCCAACGATTCTCACCACCCTAACGACCTCCCAGACGTCCTAGACTTCTTTCTCTAAGTTATAATTCAGATTAAACCGTATTTTAGACCCTCTTTTTATTTGTCTTGGCTGTAATATGTCATCATTAATAAATAAATAAATAGCACATGGCACCAACTCGAAGGAAATATGTCTATGTGCGGGAGGATCAGGTTTTGCAGTTTTACTAAATCGCCCTTTATGCTGCGGAGGGAGCCCACCAAGGTCGACCTGACATTGGAAGAAGTTAAAGAATTTAGGGAAGTAGTGCATAATCTTTTAAATGACGTTATTGAAAATCGTGAAAACTATGAAATAGAAAAGGTCAAAGAAGTCTTGACTCTTCTTAACGATGGGAATGAAGGACTCTCTGAAGTTGAAAAAAGGATGGGTTACATAGGAAAATATTTATAACTTAGGCTCTATAATTCCGTTCAAAACTTTTAAAATTTTATATTTACCGTTTGCAAAATTTAATGTTAGAGTTTTACTACCCGACATGAGAAATGACGGATTTCTGGTAGAAAAAACTTCTAACAGACAGTGTTAACACAGCCTGCATCCGCAGTAAAAATAAACTTATCCCATGCACTTTAATGTGGACAAGTAATATTATTTTAAGATATAACCGTCTATATAATAATTCCTATTATTTTGAAGCTCCCGTTTTCAAGCAAAACTGAATTTTAGGATACGTAAATAAAATTTTTACACTTAATTACACTGCCAAAATAGTTTGTAAAGTCAAGGTCATATTTTTACAATACTTGCTCAAGGTATATCGATAGTTATATTTATGAAGACCCTTTTGATATGGTAGGGGATTGAAACATTTTGTGGGTTTAAGGTTAAAAATTAAAAATATTGTCTCAAAAAATCTGAGCTTTTAAGTTTAAAAAAAAACAGAAGCGCCTATTTAATACGCAATTACAAGTATATATGCAATAAAACGGTCATGGGTTCATTTAATGAGATTTCTCTTTAAAGGTTGCCAAATGCAACGTAAGATTTACCCAAGAAGAGAAGAAGTAAGCTAACAAATAGGATCAATCGTATAGACAGATATAATAAGTGTTATAATAAAAAACCTCAAAAAATATTGATTATAATTCACTCCTAGTTCTTTAAAGATATCAATGTTAAAATTTATGCAAATATTACAACATAGCTTCTGTTTATACCACCACAAGTAAAAAAAAAGATTTGTAGAGCTTTCCTGATAGCTGTGCTATCTGATTTTAAGTTAAAAGACAGCAATGACACAAGGGTCGCGATCATTCCTAGTATAACCCTGTACTGTTGCGTTTCTAGGCCATTACGTAGGCTCTACAATTGAAGCGTCGAACAAGAACAGCTATTCATAGCTAAAAAGTTAGTCAATTAAATATATCTGTCGCTCTGAAGAATAACCCAAATTTCAGAGATATAACCTATACCAAACTAAATATTAGTTTAAAATTAAAATACTCTTAAAAGTTACCAGAGCCTCATCTACGTAACTATATAAAATAGCAAGTTACCACCAGCTAATAGTTTAAGTCGATAAGAAAAAACCTTTATTTGCAAGGACAATTAAATAAAAGGCTAATAATCACAGATTTTATTAAAAACGAAAATATCTAAAAAACTTGTGCAAAATAATTTAAAATGAAATTTGTAAAAAGACTGGCGCTAAAAAATTAATAGCAAGTTATTCGGAGCAAAAGAGATGGAAGAAGTCAACAAGAATAAGCCTGAAGGGCAGAATCTGTAAAGGAGTTGTTTTGCTAAAGAAATATTGCAAATAGTCTACGAGTTGCATATATCTAAGCCAACTCTTCACCCTTATATAAAACTAAAAAAACGATATGGCGCACTAAAAATTTTTAAAAATCCAAGTACTAAACTTTTACTAGCACCGAAAATGGAGTGTTATTAACTTAAAAGCAACGACCAGAATTATTATTACCAAAATTTATCGTATCAAGTCATAAGTTAGGCAATTAAAAATAAGATAACTTGGGTTTACATATTGTATATAGATTATGAAAAAATTGTTAAAAAATTACAACTAGACATTCAACAACAAAGAATATAAAACGGCTCATAAGGGCTATATAAAAAGGGAAAAGACGCCCAGACCTAAAGTGCTTACAGCGCTTAAAATATTACGAATGGTAAGTTGCCACATAATTATAGTTTTATTACTAATAAAATATAATTACAAAAATTGTTGAGAAAAAAAATATATTTTTTCTTCAACTAAAACTTTAACAATATTTCTATTATTGAGTGCCTTAACAGTAAGTTTAGTTGATAACGTAGTTGCGTAACCTTAACCCTAAATTTTTTCAAGTTAATTAGTTTTTTAGCTTAATTTCCATCTGTAAATCTGTAAAAGCACTACTTAGATTTGAACTTTAAAAAAAAAATAAGAGGGGATATTTGCAAAAATATTAAATACAATAAATGTACAAGTATGCTAGATATATTGTTAAAGTTTTTTCGAATTATATTACTCTTAAGCAGTTTTCTCGTCGTTTTTTCATAACTTTGAACCCATTACTATTAAGACATCAAGTATGTTATTATCGAATACGACTTCTACTATTTTGTTTATATTAGCATAATTGTTAACTATATTCTACAATAAAAACAGACTAGTGAAAGGATTCCTTTTCTATAATAAATTCAAGTTTTACTGTTTACAGTTGGGTAAAAATAAACACTGAGTTTAGCTTCAATAAATAGTTTTAAAACAGTGTCCTACCATTTTGTAGCAATTTCGCTGAATTAATTTTATTATTTACATATAGTTATTTGGTTTCTTCCTTGTTTAGTTTGAGCGCTCAGAAAAGTTTTCAGGTGTATTTTTTAAAATTATAAAGTACTTTATTTCATTAAAATAAAAAGAAAGTTGTCTTTTTTAAGTGTGGAGATAAATTTACACCTTACTAGATTTTTTGTGACTTTTAACAATATCTAAAAAGTACTGGTGCCAACGTGGATCGTCAGTGAGCTCCGGGTGGAAAGCTATTGTAAACACGTGCAGAAAGCGATATGGAGTTATTTATATAATATTAAAACCCGTAACTAGTTTGTTTTCTTGACGAGCAGCAACAATTAAGCTCTTTCCACTTTTCTCAAGTTCAGCCAAGGCCTCGACTTTGTCCTAAATGTAATAAAATTTAGAGAAAAACTTATGTTTATTAAAACATTTAATAAGCAAGGCACTTGATCTACAGCAGTGATAACAGGAGCCCGAATAAATAGACATCGAAAAGGTTTCTTTCCCTTTAAACAAGGAGTTTTTATAAGCACTTTTTAATAAATAAAGCTTTTGTTATAACTTAATAACAGTTTAGTTTACTCTATTTATAGACCTTCAAAGCTATCTTTCTGTGAACCAAAGTAATTTCTTTCAGTTTTTATATCCATGCTATTAAAGTTATTATTAGAGCTATTTTCACTTAAAAATATACAGTACTAAAAAAAGTAACCTTTCCAAGAACTTTTGACCACCATTTTTTACTTGCGAGACGTACTTACTTAAAAACACCAAACCCGCGCAAGTTCCCTTTTACAAAGCCGTATGTGTTAATGAATATAATATTATAAAATAAACGCACAAGGTAGAGGAAATAACCTCACACTTTTTAGTGACACAATAATCCATCTAGAAACTATATAAATATTAAAAGAGGGACTAAACGTGTATTTTACAAAGTAGTAGCTTTTTATTACAAGGGGAAAATAAAAAACTTGAATATGTTTTAAAGGATGGTGTACGAACAAACCAAATACAAAAAAGGCGAGGGACAAAGTATAGAACAGAAACCTTTTTTTTTTATAAATCATATTTTTTTTTATGGATCACACTTAATTTAAGTATTTTTACGTTTCATAAAACTATGAAATAAAAAATTTATAAAAAAAGCATAAAAAGTAAACCAAAAAGCTACTATAAAAAAATTAAACTCAGACATCTACAAAAGCCGTTTGAATTCAAACATTAAACCATACCCACACCGGGTTTCCTTCATTTACAAAATTCCTTAGTGGTTCATACAAGTTAGAACGTTCGCACAACAAAGAAATAGAAGTGCTCTCTCCTCCTTGATTAATAACAATGAATTATTAAGTTAAAAAATATTTAGTAAGTAGCCTTCTTCCATAAATTTAAAAATACCAGGAATAATAAGGCCGTCTATCTCGACAAGTTGACTAGTACTCTTTATAATAGAGACTGACAAGGTATAACTGTTAATTAAACTTTTAAACATTTCCTCATGAGCCTTATAAGAGCCTTGCAAACCTATTTGTTCAAGCTAAAGACTTGGTGCGTAGCAAAACCCAATTTTCTAACCTAATATACCGATCCGCAGTCCTTCCCTAATTTCACTCATTAATCCTAAAATTCCACCAAAAAAAAAAAATGTAAAATGATAGCGATAACAAAGGTCAAAGCAACCTGTTTAAAAAAAGTTATCACAAAGTTAAGTTAGAAATAAGAAACTTTTAGATCATACAAATGACTCTAGTGTATCCAACGATGAATATGAAAGCCGTGTCACGAGGTACGCCTAAACAATATTCAAGCAAAGCTGATCTCTTTCGTTTAATTTGTTGTGGCGCTAGTCAATTTAGTGTTTATTGTTAGAGAATAACAAATTATTGTCGTTATTTTTATAAGTGATATGCTTTAATTTGTTTTATAGTAATTAAAGGCTATTTATAAGCATGAAAAGATACTCTCTGGTCACTTTAATTTTTACGAAAGTGGAGCCTTCGAAACACATAACTCCTCCAGATCTATTAACCAATCTCTTTATACAGTAAATTCTCCGCTTGCATCAATTTTAGAGTTTAAAGTTTTGGTAGAATACCTTTATAATCTTGATCACGGGATTTTACTTAACATTTGCCAGGCACAAAGATCCTGCAAGTCTACTTATCAACTTTTTTTAATCGTACTTATTTTTAAAACTTCATTGTTTTCTATACGGAGAATGTGCATTAAACCGCATCGCAACCAATAAATATAGGCAATAAGCGTCTATCTACTCCCTAAACCGTTACATCTGCAGTTACATAAAGCAATGGGAATAGCTTATAAACAAAAAAAGTGCTCATAGCTTAAAAATTGTTATAAGGCGTTTGAACTTTAAGCAATGTTTGAATCTTAAACCCAACAAGTGCATAGTTTTATAGCAGATAATTTAACCCCTACACAAATATCCAAAACTATTAACTCTACTATTTTAGTAAGGCATAACTATGCTTTTTTAAGTTAATCTTACTACAAATATCGCTCTGTCAACCCCTACAGCCTAATTTTATATTAAAGAATAAACTCTAAAAAACTTATTATCGATTTGCCTTATAGATTTCTTTTTATTAAATGAGTCAGTTGTAATAGTTAAAACCATTTTAAAAGTCATCATTAAATTAATAAAAGCGCAAAACATAATAGTTTATTTACATTTGAAAAAAAACAGTAAAGCCCTTAAAGAAGCAACAACCAAGTTAAACCCCCCAAGCGCGGATGAGGTTGTCAGTGTACCCTGCGTATAAAACATCACCGTTATACGACCAGCAGAGAGAAATAACTTCAGGGTGTGTCTGCTTTTTATTTTCTCCAACCAGGGTCACACTTGCTTCCCTAACTTTGGCTTTTGTACCTAAATCCCAAATAATTATTTTGGACCCTGCACCAGCGCAAAGCCAGTATCTAGAGGGTGAAAAGCATAGTGCTGCAATAGTGTGACCGGCTTCAAAGGTATACTGATAATTTCCATTTTCAGCTAAGTCCCATACCATAGCCAACCCATCTTTACCGCCAGAAGCACATAAAGATCCATCAGGAGACACAGTAACACAATTGATAACACCCCTATGACCGATAAAATTAGTTCTCAGCTGACACGTGGTTAGCTCCCAGACTTTGACAACATTGTCCCAGCCGCAAGAGATTACCTGAGGTCCAGTTGGATTAAAAGTTACGCAAGAGACCCAGTCAGAATGGCCTTTAAGAGAATCATCACTGTCAGCTCCCATTGTGTACTTGCACTCTCCGAGAGTGTTCCATAATTTAATGGTTCTATCACGGGAACCTGAAACAATATGTCGGTGATCAGAAGAAAAGGCCACAGACAGAACATCATGTTTGTGCCCCTGGAAAATTTTCCGAGTTTCTCCACTTGTAAGGTCCCACAAACGCAAAGTTTTATCCCAAGAACCGGACAAAGCAAACAGGCCATCCGAAGAAATGACGACGTCAGAAACAAAGTGGTTGTGCCCCGTCAAAGTTTTTTTGGGGTATCCAAAACGAAGGCTACTTCTTTCAATTTTCCAAACAATGAGAGTTTTATCTGCAATAAAATAAAATCGAAAAATCTGTTAACATTTTATATAACTTTAATAATCAGTTATAACTTATGCTAGAATATAGATAAGTTCACCTCTAGAGGAGGATATTAGCAAGTCGTCCACGGAGCTTGATGCTATTTGAGTAATCCAACCAGTATGACCTCGCAGAATACCAATTAAAGATAACTTCTCAGCCATCTTTATACTTTAATAAATAAAAAAATTAGTAAATGAATAATAGATAGTCGATAAAAAATATTTGAATAAATTTTTTTTAGCTTATATAAAATTGCTTATTCTATGAAAAAAGTTAGTAATTAAAAACTGCTTTAATAATGCAATTTCCATTATAACTTTGTAAGTCACAAAGATATTGTAATTTGGTTTCGCTAGTATATGTAAATACTCTAAAAAAAAAAAAAAGTGAACTAGTAAGCCAATTTTTTTTTCGTTTCTATAGTATTAAAGCAAAAGTCCTTAATAATAAAAACCAAAATACAACTTTAATTAATTATAAATCTAGAATGCTTCAAGATATTAGAAACCAAAAAGGGTAATTGAGGCAAGGAATATGACCGAGAAAAACCAAACCTCTACAGCTATAAGCACCGCACAGGAAGGAAGAGAGTCGAGTGACGCACGCGAGAAAGATAAGCTAGTGCACCTTAAAATAAGGTTCGAACCCCATGCAACCTTAAAGACACGCGCCTGGTAAGTTACATTGAAAGTTAGTAGGAGGTAATCTTTAGCTGTTAGGCACCTGAATTTTTTTTCAAAATTTATAGTTGTCTTCGATAACAGAGCTAATAAATTCAGTAAATATAATATTTCATGATAATGTCTACGGTAAATTAATATATCGTGCACCCGTTTTGTACTTATATAAGATAAAATATTAAATTAGCAGCAAATAACGAAGCATACTCTTTTTAAACACTTTTTTTTTTTAATAAAAATAAAATTATTTATGCTCTTTTTACGGATTATTAGTTCATTTTGGTTCTTAGCGACTGATAAATTAAAATTATCAGATCTCAGTATTTCTTGACTGACTGACTGACTGAAAATTTGGTAAGAAAGAAACGAATATAACCAGGATTATGGGGGGCCTGAGGGTACAACACTAAATAGATAGAGGATGGTGTGCGCATCGAGCTGTTTCGTTGTTCTTAATGTTTGTCAGGCGTCTATAGAACAATCAAATAAATTATTACAGCCTCTTATTATTTTTACTTCTCTATACTCTTATTTATTTATAATATATAAGTTTGTAAAGTATTTATGTAAGAATAACACTATACTCTTAAGAAAGTTTAAGATATTACTCTTCTTACCTTCTCTTTCTTTGTAAATTTAAATTAAAATATAATTTGTCTATTAACTGAGTTTCCTTTTCATAATTAAAAACCGTAATACTTATCAGAAATGTTTTAATAAACTTGGGTGAGAAATGTGAAGATATATAAAATCTCTGTTAGGGACTATGCATTTAAGTTGAATACTATATAAAATATGCATTAATTTGTAGACGTCAAGAGAATTCCATGTTTACCCTAGGTCTTTAAGGTTAGGTGTATTAACTTAAAACCTGTCTTTTTTTTTAAAAATTAAATCTTTATTCATAAAATAAATAGTTAAGAGACATTATTCAAAATATTGGCAATCGTTAGATATGACTTTATCGTATTTTTCTAAAAATAAGCGGAGCTTCCTTCGAAGAAACAACTCATATTTAGAGGGTATCTGCTCAGACACTCATTTGTCGACGTTTTCAGAAGAGTCCAAGTGTTAACCAGCAAGTGCAAGTGCCATTAATCGGAACAAGTGGTAGTTAAAGGGGCACAGTCTGATGGATAAGCCTCATGGGATAGCACTTCCCAGCGAAGTGTTTTCGGTGTTTCTCTGTCTTAGTGACGGGGGACCAAGCATTGTTATAATGCTATATTACTTTAATGTTGCCTTTCTTCTTGCTCTGGTCTTTTTTAATGCAATGCTTTTCTTGAACGAACAGTTGTTGTTGGGTATAGATACCCTGACTGTGTGACCAGGCTTCAATATATAAAAATACACCGCACCTCTCTGGTCACCATATAGAGCATGGCTTCCAAACCATATGCACTTGCTATTTGGCGGTTGGTGTTGACAGTTGTCTAAAACTTAAATACTTAAAACTGTCATACTGGTGTCAAGAGTTGTCGTCGTAGATCAGCAGTTAAATGCACTGACGTGCAAACTCAAGGTAGTGGGTACGATTCCCACCGACGCAATTCTTTCTCTTTTTTCGGTCTTTGAAAGTCGCGTATTTAACCTCACCTTTATATATTCTATTACGTTACAAGCACGATCTTTGCCTTGAGCTAAACGTAAGAGCGCCTAAGATCGACTGAAAACCCCGGTCAACGGGACAAACAATAAACATAGGGGGCACTCGGGATTGGCAAAAGTCTCAGCCTGAGAAAAACTATACGAAAATACAAAAGCACTCAAGATTTGGTCTAAGCCCCTAACCGGAGAGTTGTTATAAAAACATTAAGGGCGTCCAAGACCGCCTTAAGACCCCGGTATGAGGGTTATCAATATGGGTGTATAAGAGGTTGGAAACGTGAAACCGTCATCTGGGGTCATGGTTCGTCGTAGCTCAACAGTTAAGAGCACTGCCGCAAAAACCCAGGTGGTGGGTTCGATTACCTTCGACGTGACTTTCTTTTTCGGTCTCTGTGGGTCGCCTATCTAAGCTCTCCTTTATAAATTCTAATAGTATTGGATCGCCAATAGTTTTACGGGGTTAAGGCTATTATAATAGATTCATTTTTCTCGTCAGTCACAATTCCTTGTAAAAATTATTTTCTTTTTTGCCTGTTAAGTAGAATTTCAGACACCTTATGATATCTCTTTCTTATAGTTCATGCGGTACCCATCCTCCTTCCTAGGATACCTTTCCCACAGCTTTTAAAACGTTTGGAAATGGCCGCTTGGGCAACATGTGGAGTTTCGGCAAGTATTTTTTGCGTTTGATAAGGATGTTCGCCCACTAGTGCCTGGAGTTTTTCAATCATGAAAATTTTTGCTGACTGACTTTCTTTATCGCTCATGTTTAAATCGCCACTTTAGGGTTGTGTCTGATAGAGCAAGTTATTTATAAGCGTCGATAAAATTCAGTAGCAGTTTTTGTCAAATTAACACAGAAAAGTAAAGATCGCGCAAATGGTTGAAATACAGCCAATTCTTTCGAGGTTAAAAAAAAAAAACTTATAACAGTAACAAATTTTTTAATCTGAATAATTTTGGCAAACTGTTATATTATATAAATGATATCTGCTTTAATTTAAAGTTGATTATATACAAAGCTACGACAATATATTGCTACGGTGGGTTTCAAGTTATCTGTACCTAATATGAAACACAAAATTTTTAAGGCGCCCCATAAAACAGTGTTTATTGCTAGCGTACTAACAAGAGTTATTTATGTAAATTAGTTTTTATAAATTTTCTTTAATTTGTGGTAAATATAAATTAGCGGTATATAAAAACGTGGGGGGGGGGTTTAGAAAGAAGGATTTTTAAAATAGGAGAGAAACTAAGAATTAAGAAAACTTTTATAATTAGAAGACTCATAGTGGTATAAAAATAAGGAAACCGTGCTGGAAGTCTTATGCGATTCAGAATCCGACGATAGCCTGGGACAAATTAAAGTTTGTTATCAACTTTTAGACATATCACTGCAGAGGAAAAGAACAGGGAAGCGATGAAAGAACTTTTTCCGCTAAATAAGTTACTAAGTTTTGAAAAAACTTAAAGAGCAATGTGACAAAAAAATAGTAAATATTTGAATATACACAATACACAATACCTAAGACACAATTTAATACACACCCAAGGCACAAAAACGCAATATACGGAAAACAAACAAAACAATCCACTAAATTTTCACAGGAAATATTATCTTGGATTAATCCAATCAGAAACCTGAGAAAATTTAGTGGGTTAGTGTTTTGTGATTGTGTTTATACTTTTGTCTGTATGTTTTAGGTTGTGTACTTTATACTTAATGTATTATATAACATGTTTCTGTAATCTATGTTTAATTTTTTTTTGTGTCTTCTATTTTAAATTGTGCCTTAGGTGCTGTGTATACTGTAACATTTAGTATTTTTCTTATTACAATGCACCAAAAATTTCCAACCTTGCCTAAATTTATGTAAAAGCAGTTAATCAAAAGATAAGGCCTCGTTAAAAAAGACTGCAAAAAAAATTTATTGTATTTCGTTACCAGGGGTTGCATTAAAACATAAAGGTCTGCTGAATGAACGGGTCACTAGAAAAAACACGGAAAGAACAGAAGGCGAGGAGACCTTCATTCTTCTAAATTAATCAAAAATAGGTGACTATGCGATCAAAGCCTTGCTGAAGTTATTGAAAGATAAAAATGAAAAATGAAAAGTACCAGTCCCTTCAAACGAAAATGCAAGAAAAACTTTTCACTGCAAAAAGTACAAAATGGTAATTTAGTTGAATAGAAATTAGCTAGATGAAGCAAGCAATAGGTGCGGAATTCAGTTTTAGGTATAACAAGGCCAGCAGTGAAAGATGCATGAGTGGAAAGGTCTCCTTAGTAAGGATTTTTATAAAAATGGGGGGAAGTTGATTCCAGAAAAGACAAAGTCTGATACTGAAAGCTACCAAAAAAGTTAAAAATTTAAAATTTTGGATTATTTCGAACATTCCTAATTTTCTAGCAAATACTATCTAAATTTTATTATGTTGGCGCTGCAAAGTAATTATAAAGACAGCCCCACAGCTGCTGCGTCGCGCTCTACGCCGGTTATACCGCCGTCCACGCGTCCTTTAGAGAACCCCACCCACAGTGCAACCTGAAACATTTGCCAACTAGTGCTGAAAGTGGAGGGTATCCATCTACGGTAATAGCAAATTTCCACCGCGAAAAGATTCACAAAACCCCCTCGCCTCTAACGATGGGGCTCACTGGCAAGTATCTTCGATTTAACGCTGCTGTGCGCAGTTTGTCCCATTGCACTAAAAAGAAATTACGCCGTTATTGAGTATGTGTTCCTATATTGGCCTACGCATCTTTTGAATATCTAAAAAAATTTCACGATTTCGCTTCTATAGACGCAATAAAACAAGTTTCTGGGCTAATGGCTAGCGCATCTCCGCGCGTGTAAAGTAAATTACACTACCACCTGAGTTTAAACGAATTAAAGCTTTCCGAAGAGGAACTACTTCTCTTTTGATGTGTATGTAAAAATTCTAACTACAAGGGGACTTAAAACTTATATACTAACCTTGGAAAGGAGCACGCTTCTAAGGGCCCCACGATACTTTTTGAACGTACACTTAAGGTTTTAATATTCCTCACAAATATTTACTTATATATAAATGATGAGATTACTAACGGAACTAAATACAGACTTCTTCAAATAATCTAAATAATTGCCAAACTGAGCAGTCTGCGCTTGATTTTACCGATCATTTACATAAAAAAACTACATGTCGTCCGAGCAATTAAGGTCCACTAAAAACCACGCAAAAGATCTATAGAATGAGTGGTGCCAGATAGCATTATTGTTCGATTCTAAAGCCACTATCTAAATCAATAA